CACTTGTGATTGCTCTGTTGACCTTTGCTTCTCCATCCTCCTCCAGGGTCTTTTGAAGGCCATGGAAACACTCCCATTTATTTCTTGGGACTTGAGAACGTACTTCAGGGCCCTGATCCAGAACAAAGAGCTCCTGTTTTGAGTTGGGAATCTTGTCTCAGGAAAGTTGTTTCAGATCATTGCCTCAGTTTCTTCCCATTCAGTTGCTTCCCTTTAATAATCTGAGGTTAACACATACTATGCCTGCAGCAGCCTTATTATGAAAATAATTAACTGAATTCATCCAGATGGTTAAGCACACAGAAAATAAAGATGAGTGTGTCAGGCACCATAGTGACTATGAGATGACAGCATCTGTATGATAACCCAGGGGCAAGTTTAGGCAGAGAGGATGTTAAGAAACTGCCTGCTTTGGTGATGAAGCTTCTCTTCTGTACACTGAATTTGAAAGTCCTGCTGTGCGGGTGCCAGAGGTCCTGTGGTGTCCTTGACATGTGGGGTTGCTTGGGCATGAAGCCTCTGGACTGACTGTTTTCTTCAGCCTGTGCTGTGATCAAATACTCTCTCTCTGCTCAACAGTGCTGGCTCGTGCATTTCTTCCAGCCTTTCTTTTTCTAGTTTTTCACATTCTTCATGCTCTCTTCCAGTTTCCCTCAGGTCTCATCTTGCCTCTGTTCTCAAATGCTGAAGTTTTCTGGTGCCTTTCCGTTGATGTGACAGCGTACATGGTTGCGTGCTTTCTCTTGGAAGGCCACTGCCTGCCTCACTGCACAGGATCAATGTCATCACTTAATGACTAGAAATTCAGTACTTCGTTTCATGCAACTTGCGCGGTATATGATCTGTTTCACACCTTTTTGTCCACTCTTCAGGTTTTGCTTTGACTATGGGCTTGCATCTACTTGTGTGTAGCACTCTTCAGCATGGTATCTGACTGCGTCCTAAACTATTTCTTTTTTTGACGTGGCTATAAGGTGAAGCTAGTGGTGGTGTTCTCATCACACAGATGAGAAACTGATGCATATACTGATGAGGGTCAACTGTCTCCGCTAGGTTTAGTTGCCACTTTCGGATGATTTTTTCCTTTCTCCAGCACTGCCCTTTGGCTTGCAGGAATCCCCTGCTCATCTGCTGTGCGAGCTCCAACTTTTGCAACGGGTAGGGCTGTAGAGTGTGGACCTGCTAAGCAAACACCAATGGCAAAAATGGTCCCTGCCAAAATCAGCCAACCATCCAGCATCAGGAGTGGTAATAAGGCTACTCAGCAGCTTTAGCTGTCAGGCCTGCTGCCTTTCTTTTGCAGCCCTAGTGGGAGAGGAATAGAATAAATGTGTTTTCCGTGGTCTTCAGAAAGCAGAACTCGTGGGGGGATCAAGTTGAGTGGCTGCGTTTCCCCGTGAACATTGGGGCAAGACTGGAAGTGTGAGATTCACATCTCTGATGTCTGTCACCATGTTTGTTGGCAGTTGTGTTGCCGCAGATGGCAGCAGGAGCAGGTTGTAGCCCTCTGTGAGCCATCAATGCAGGAAGATGCTGGTAGTTTGCCAACTATTTCTAGAAGCAAAGAGATGCTGAGTCGGGAATAATGGCCCTGATTCACAGAGGTGTGGTGGCCGTGGGTAATTTCTACTTCCTTATCTCTGCAGTCTTTTTCCTTTTATTCAGGTTCTCTCCATCTAGTCCTTGCATGTCCATGTGTCCTCCATGACTGCAGCAAATTCTTCACCCTTCCCCATCTAGTTAGATATTTTTTCCCTTCCATCTGCGGCCAGCCTAGGAGATCTTCCAGTCTTTGTTCCAAAATCATACGTTGTATGGCTTTTTTGCAGGAGTAGCAAGGGCATTTCTTCTTGGACATGTGGCCGTAGGGAAGAGCAGATTCCCCTCTGGTGATACATGATACTTGGTTTACCAAGGGGGAAAGGAGGGGAAAGTATGTTCCCTGCATACAAAAAGTCCAGAGGTCCAGAGGATTTTGTTGCTAAGCTCTGAATCTCTGTTGAGTCTGTGTGGGCAGGAATTTTCAAGTACTTACTGCTTGGCCAAATTTGAGGTGATTTTCTTAAAAGAGGAAGGACATACAACGTTTCTATTATGAAAAATAAAGGAATGATTAAAGACTCTGAGTTAAATAGTTGGGATTCTTTTTTATGCGAGTAAATATTTTTTTTTCCTAATTTTGTCTTTGGAAATAGGTGACTGAATATTTTCTTAAAACCATCACGCCAAAACCAAAACTAGTGAGAAATGATATGCAATTTTGTGAGGTTTGCGTGACAAACAGGCGTAAGCAGAAAGTATTAGGATGTTACCTGCTAGCATTATTACTGTGACCTACAACACCTGTGGAGTGAACCCTCAGTGTTGGCTTCATCCGATCGAACAATGCAAAAGTCAGCTGAATAGCGGGGCTGTTTGAAAACCAGTCCTGTATGAAACTTTTTGCAAAGAGTAAACTGGATTGGAAAGCCCAGTTGTCCATTTTTCTGCGTCTTACAAAGAGATTGAAATCTTTCCAAAGTGAGTGTGACATACTAGGATAAAGTGGAGCATTCTTGTTTGGTAGATTTGTACCTTGGTCAGGCAGTTTTCTTATTACATTTGTGGAGGACACTAAGACGGGGGAGACACTGGAAGGCAAGTCCGTATTCTAAGCAATCTAATAATGATGGAGGTTCAATCTGAGAAAGAAAAAAAAAAAAAGTGTGATATGGTAGAAAGAAGAATTGCATTTGGACATGAAAAATCAGTGATGTAAATATACTCTAGGAAGTGACT